AGAAAAGGCAAATCTTTTCTATTTCTCATAGACTGGTAAAGCTGCTGAGATTCTTTGGGCCACTGGGGACTTCACTGGAACTTGTGAACTTTTTCCCAAGTTCCATGAAGTTTGGACATGATGAAGATTCTACCTGGAAACCTGCATTGATAAAAAATGCTCAGCCAGCTCACCTGGCTGTTTAATCCCTGATCTCTACAATTATGCTTTTAATTTACTGTTCTCCTGACACATCCATCACGTGGAATTACTCTTTGATATAGACATGGATCTATAAATCCATACAACTTTTCAAATCTTCTACAAATAATGACTTCTTAATAGCCATTCTCTTAGTCTTAAAATTCTATGAACCTTTAGTAGTTGCCCACAAAATCAGTATTTCCCATTCAGAGTGATTTTGATTCCTTCAGAAATCCCTCTGCCATGGGCAGAGCACAAACCCATTGTGGAGTGATACCCTCTGCCCAGATGGGAACACTGAAATAAGCCAGAAAAAAAGGAAAAGCCATGTGTGAATGTGGCTACCTCAACCTCAGGGTTAAATCCCTCAAATTAAGCAGTTTCTGGTAAAGAAGAGTCTGCAAAGAGCTGATCTTTGTTACATGATGTGCTTGCTTTTTGCCTCTTGGCTGATGCAACTGGAAGCTTCTTTTCCACTGGCTAAGAGTCTGTTTTGCCCTTCCAGTGGAAACTAAAAGTTACAGCTTGAAAATAATTCCCTGTCCTGTGGTCTGAACAAAAACAAAACAGCTCTAGTCACCCTTCCCCTTGGCTGAGCAGAGCCAGTGCTGGAGCCCAGCACTAAGCAGGTCAGAGGGGCTGAGCAGAGGGAATGGCCCCTTTTCCTCTGGCTGTTTTTACTGGCAGCAGGTCCTGGGAACTCTAGAGTGACCTGTCAGGAGCAGGGGAAGGAGAGTGACCAAGGGAGGGAAACATGGGCAGGAATCTGTGCTGCACACACAGGGATAGGTGTCCCAGAAAAACAGGGAGCACTTCTGGCACTGGGAAAGAACCAAGGGGACGGAAGTGATGCCATCAGGTTCAGCAAGGAAAAACAGAATTTCCTCTGTGGACAGACTTGCTTTGCCCAGTTTGTGGGGTCACAGTTCTGGTAATTAAAAAGCTCTTTGTAAACAAAATTTTCTCTGCAATGCAGCCAGGCTCACTAGCTGTAACTGCACTCAAGTTCCAGCTCAAAGCTCTCCCAGGCATCTGTTCCTGGATTGTGGAGACATGTCCACTCTGCCAGCCAAGAACCTCAGTTTAGTCTCCAATGTTATATAAAAGGACAAGTATTCCCCTTGTGACTTCCACTAATTACAGCACAGTTTAAGGAAGACAAGAAAGGAGAGAGGGAGCTCTAAAACTGATAAAACTGATGGGCTTTTGATGCTCTTTCATCAAACTCCTCTGCAGGACCTGGCTATGGAGCTGCCAAGCTCTACAGTGTCTTGATTTGGGTGTCCCCAGTTCCTCTGCAGAGCTCCCTAGGGCACAGAATCTGCTCCTGAATCAACTGAAGAGCCACCAGCACCCAAACTTTTTAATTCTGGGAGGAATAGCAAACAGCACAGACAACAGCCAAGTCAGTAACCAGCCTTTATTTAACAATTCTCCCAATCCAGCTGAAGAATTCACTGTCAACCCTCACCCCACACACCCTCCCAGCACCCAATCTGGTATTTCTGCCAGGCTGGCTCTCCTGGCCTGGCACATGTGTGTGATCATGTGACATTGCCCTGAGGGCAAGGGACAGTGCTTTTTGTCAGCCTAAGAAGGGACAAGAGCCTGAGGACATCCCCAGGAATTACCTCAAAGGCTGAAGAGCCAGTGGAGCACAGCAAGCACAGCCCCCACTGTCTGCACTGTGCCTCACACTCACCCCCATTATTTACAAGGCTCCCGCTCTGCATCCTCACCCTCTCACTCCAGGAAAATGCATTTTAGCAGCACATCTGGCTGGCTGCAGGGTCACTTTTTGGTCATCCAGAATAAAAACTGAACGAAACAGTTGGGATCCTCAGCTGCAGAAATGCAGCACTGCCCTACGTTTACTTTTCATTGAATTTCAAGTACTTGAGATGACCACAGGAAAAGCTTCAGAGTATTCTAGGGGATGCAGTGTGTGAGGAATGACAGGACCCAGAGCCAGGCTCTGCTTTGGAGCCCAAGCACAATGAGGTATAGGGAAACAACTGCAATTACCTTCAATACCTTCACAAAGTAACATCACCAGTCTGAATTTTCTGCTCCACCCAGCAGCCAATGCAGTTTTCAAACCCAAGACTGCTTCACATAAATATCAGTGAAAGTCAATATATCAGCCATGGATTAATAGCTACAAATCCTATTAAGGTTACATGGCAGTACCATGGAAAACCCCTCAGCCCCAGTGGAAAAAAAAAAACAACCCAGAGCAAGGCCTCAGATATCTAAAAACTCACACCTTGAGTCTTTCTATCAGAAGATGAATATAGGAGGAGCAACCATATAGTTACAGATATTTTAGGTGCCAGTAGCTTTAAATTATGAGCAAATTTAATATCCTTCATAGAAACTCAGTTGTCAGTCAAGCGCTGTATGAACACACTGAGGAGTAACTTCTCCATACACAGAAGAGAGGGAAAACCTAAATTCTTTGCTTACAAAATGTTTTGAAAGCTGCAGACAGGCAGATGCTTCCCTAAGCACACAACAACCAGAGTGATCTGCAGTTCTAAGAAAGCCACAAGAAGCTCATCTACTTTAAGTAACAGTTATTACTCCTGAACTATCCCCAGAGCTCCCAGGATAAAAAGGCAGACAACCAATTACAGTCTTAGACATCCAAAGCTTATTTTACTGCCTTTAGAAATAAGCATCACGTGCTCCTTCCACGGGGAGGGAGGGGGGAGGGGAGAGAGGGGAGAGGGGAGAGCCCTTGAGTTTGCTCTTTCTGCCAAAGCCAAGCAGCAAAGCAGCTCCGCTTTGTCAGGAAGGGTTTGCTTTGGAGTAACCTTCCATGTTCCAGTGACTGATTTGTCCGAACAGAATTAATTTTAGCCACAACATCCCCCATGCTGGAGTGATGTGCTCAGAAAAGGATTTTTATCCTCAGAAGGCCTGGTCACCTTGAGGAAAGGAAAACATTTCGAACAGTTAAGAAAAAATTAAAATAACTGGGCAAAACCACGTGGTGGATTGCTGGGGTGTCCTGTGCAGGGCCAGCAGTTGGACTTGGATGATCTTTTTGGGTCCCTTCCAGCTCAGGATATTCTGCAAAAATATTATCCCCTACACTGGGATGTTCAACGTGAACACCATCACATCTGGTTTTTTCATTCAAGAAGAAGCCTTTATCAAATTGTCTCCTCTAATAGAAGAATTTTGACAAAAAGCCTACCTGTTTCTCACATTTTTCCCAGCATAAACTCACCTTTTGCCTACAGGTAAGAGATTTAAGTGGAGATGTCCCATGTATGTGAATATGGAGAGAAAGACAACATTTCAAAAAACCTACTTTGTGTAACATCAGATGAGGCAGCAAAAGATAATCTGAAGGGAAAAATGGAAGGGAAATAGGATGGACAAGGAGGGGGAATTCTGGGACACTCCAAGAAGGCTTTCAGTTCTTGTATAACATGATAGATTTTAAGCCTTTAGGGGAGAACTGGCTGAGCAGTATTGAGAGCAGCATGACTGTGCAGCCACATGGGTTGTGTCTGCTACAACTCTATTAATAGGAGAGCACAGAGGGAGGTTTGACCGTGCACACTCCACGTCCATCAACAAAACTGCTTTCCCTCCCCACTGCATCCCCCCTCATGGTCACAGTGACAATATGGGGGCTCAGAATTCCCAGAGCCCCCAAAAGGGCTGCACTGCCACCCCAAACCAGCCCCTTCTACTGTGAACCCCCCAAGGCACTGCCTGGCCCCAACTCATCCTCAGCAAGCACTCAAAGCTCCGTTTGCCTCTATTCAGAATTAACAGGCTTTAAACACAGATTTTTAGTGCTGAACTGCAGAATTTAGGCCTGGGTGTACAAGCCCTGTTTGTGGTGCCCCAGCAATAAACATGGCCCCTCACAATGTGAGCTGGGCTTGGCTCTCACTTCTCACTTCACCATTACAATGCAAGTTCTATTCCACACCCCCATTCTGTGTGTGTAACAGGCCTGACCCCAATAAAGATGGTCAAATAAATATCTGGTGACCTCACAAGTATGAAAATAAGCTTTTTTGAAAGAAAAAGTATATCTTCAGGGGGTTTGGAAGTAACTTTCAATTATTTTTAATTGCCTGGAAAATTAAAGTGAGAAAATAGTGTGGTATAAATGTTAGGGCACATTATTAAGCAGTTTTCATAATATCTTAGCCATAAGCTTAACAGACAAAAAGGGTTTTTAAAGCCTAGGTCATCTGTTCAATATGAATGGCCTGTCTGTTCCAAGACTTCCTCAAGGGGTAACTGAACTGAAATATTCCATGATAGAAACCAGATTCCATTTGACCTGGTAGACAACAAGAACTCCACAGAACCTTCAACCTTTGGGTTTAATTACAAACCACCACAGAGTCTGGACTGCAGCCCATGATCAGAAATACAAAGAAAGGGGTTGAGGGAAAGTTTGGAGCTCTAAATGCCAAGGTTCCTTCCCCCACTTTCCTTTGCTTAAACTGTGGGGTGGTTTTCTTATTATTGTGAACACAACCAACTTCCAAACTGCAAAGTTAGCACTATTTCCAAGGTATCAGTCTAAGGCCTTTCTGTCTTTCTTCTCATGGAATTCTGCTGCCACACCAGACACTGCACCAAACCCAGCATGGGAACCAACACAGAGCTGAATTCCAGGCTTCCATGTCTCTTACTTGATTTTCTTCTTTGTCTGATGCTTGGAAGCCTCAGACCCATTTGGGCTGAACTTTTCTTAGGCAGCCTCTAATGCAGTAACTAACACAAAGCTTTAAGAAGTATTGGAGGTGAAAACCATCGTGAGCAGCTGAGCCCAAATGAAGCCAGACCTTACAGAGAGCAGAGGCTTGTGGTGTTCCATATCCAAGGCAGAGTAGAACTGTGATGTGCTTTGGCCATAGGAGCGATATAAATTGGCAGTAAAAGCCTGACCTAAAAGGCTTACATCAAGGAAAAGCCTGACTCGGACCCTGACTGCACAAGAGCAAATGCTGTCACATAATTGGGAGCTGCAGGAACGTCACTGCTCAGTGGCGCTAAAGGTTCACAGGCTCTGCAATTCAATGCTCTTTTCATACATCCAGCACACAAGGAATGATAAATAAATAACAAATCAAGGAAGGAGGTGGTGTGTATCCATCTAAAACAGCAACAAGAAAGCTCTGTCTAATACCACCATCTGAAGTGGGGGTGGATCATCCACAGAAGGGACTTAATAACCAGAAGCTGAGTTTGCAGGAAATTCTGGTAACATGGATGAAGGGCTCAGATCTGTGGGGTGGCAATAGAAATGTCAGATATCTGCAGCCAGACACAAACTCCCTTGCTACTGGGAGGAAGAAGGTAACTCCCAGGCATTTTCCAGAGGACAGATTTGGCACCAGGTCCTGTGCTGCTGCTCTCTGCAGGACATTGGGTACTTGTGGCCACTAAATCTGTGTGTGCACCATATATCCCAGAGCAGGGCACTCTGTCAGGTGCCTGCACTTGCTACAAAGGGACAGGGATGAACACCAGGAAGACATCTGTGTGGAAAAATGGCCTGACATCTTCCCAAAAGCACCAGTGGCAACCCAAACAAAGCATCCACACTGGTGTCACTCATCATGCCAGCACAATTGGTCACATCCCAGTGAAGAATCCAACAACAATGCAGTCCTGGGAAATGGGTAATAATCCCAAGGGTTGTTTTGATCTTTGGAGATCCCCATAAGGATAATTTAACCATTCTTACATTGCCACAGCTTTACTTGCTTTAAAGGATGTTTAAAGAAGCACAAAACTCCAAGAATAAACTGCTGTAAGGATTTCACATAGTTGCAAATCACCATTCACTGATGTGTCTTATTCACTGAAACGCTAAAGGAAAAAAGCACACAAGTCAAGCACGAAAGAGAAGCCTGAAATTAGACTGATCCCCTTGTTCACTTGTGCAACCCAACAGAAAAGGAGAGCCTGGACAGACAAATTAATGGATCAGATTTTACTGTTACATCAGGAGTGAGATGTTCCAACTAAAGTTTTGTATTTAATTTATCGCCTGCTTTACTGTGATACTGTGCCAACAGCTCCAACCCCTAAATCTTTACCTACCTCACATTACAGTTCTGTCTGTCCCATTTTTCTGAGGTTGAGTATTTCAAAAACCCAAGCAGGTTAACTTGAAGGTTTAACAGAATATACCTGTGTCAGGTGAAGCCTGAGGCCTGCACTGGAGAGAGCAGTGAAGGATCTCCCTGGTGCCTTTCCCAGTGGGAAAAGTGTCACTCATCACTGGCTGAAAATCCTTTCTGTCTCCATGCATGGCAGGAGGAGGCTGGAGGAGATGATGAACCGCAGAAACCAAGAGGACAAGATGGATTTGATGGAGGGATGACCCCAGCCAAGGTTGATCAATTTTTGTCTCCCTAAAGAAAAACACAACTACTTGCTGGTATAAGCACATATAAACCTGCTGGTATAAACACACTGTCTGTGTAGTGCATTTAGCTTTAAGCAGAGGGAAGTTGACATTTCACCTAAAATGAGGCCAAGAAAATCAAAGCTCACCTCAAGGAGAGTTTTGCCAGCCACTAAAGGAAACAAAAACTATCACCTTTGGGTAGATAAAAACCTAATTTAAGTGGGGCAACAGCCAAAAGCTTCAAAGGCCTCAAACATAGTAAGGCAAAAATCCTTTGCAACCATCAAAGCTGTTCCATACACATGGCTTGAGAATTATTGTCCAAGAAATTTGGGTGGGTTCCTCCAACCAGGATAAGAAAACTGCTTAGGAGGGAAAAGAATTGAACCAGGCTGCAAATTCCTCACCTCTGCTGAACTCTTGCTGACAAAAATCACAATCCTGCTCTCAACAAGGCCAAGTTCAGCCAACTTCCCTAAGAAACAGGCTAAGCTGTACAGCAACAACTTCTAATGGAACAGGGAATGGGGATAAAGCAGAAAATCTCAGGAGAAGGGAGAGAATAAGCATTTGAAACACCAAACAGAATCCCAAACCTTCATTAATGAGTGCAGATTAATTTTGTGGGAGAGAAGGTGATCATTGCTACTGCTGTTCTGCTGGACTAAGAGGAAGGGCTGCGGGAAACTAGGCAGATAATGACGAGCTCAGCTGTTCAGGACAGCAGCTGTCCCCAAATCCTCACTGGAGGGAACCAGCCAGGAGGTCACAGGAGTCACAATTATTTGGAATGAAGAGGGAAACAATAGGTTGGGGCCCTCTGTCTTCTTGCCTTTCTCATGGCTTTTGTGAGCTGTTGCCTTCCCAGAATAGCTGGCTACACTCGGGGCAGCTCAGGGGCTGGGTCCGGACAGGCCCCTTTTCTCCCCTGCAGCTCCACAATTTAAAAGGAAAAATGACACCTCCATCCCCCCCCATTTGTGTGCCTGGCTCCCAAGCACCTCTGCAATACCAGCTGACCAAGGAGGCAGGGGGAAGTTTTAAGCTTTAGCAAGGGGTAAGAAAAAGCTCAAAACAGACTCAGTCCCATGAAATTTATTTTCTCTGACCTCCCTTCTCAGCTGAATTTCTCTCCCAGGACAAAGTTAATGCCATATTGCAGGACACTGTGACAAACCTGTCAAAATCTCAGATTTTCCTGAGCCAGGAATGCTGCTCTAGAGGGAAGTGCAGACACTGCTGTTTGACAGAGTATAAGAGAGCTTGTAGCACCCAGAGAGCTAAAACAAGGTCTCTTTAACAGTTCACAAAGTTTAGTGAACAAAAATGGCCAAAAAATTGGTTTGCCAAGATTTTGGCCACCATGGTAAAGAAAACATGATTCTTCTCCTGCCTCTCACTGCAGCCTTGCATGACCTTGGGTAAGGCATTGAGCCCTGATCCAGCCAGAGCTGCTGTGGCCCAGAAATGCTGCAAACCTGATCCCATTGCAGAAGAGCTTTAAAAAGGCAATTCTTACACAATGGTAGAGTCTAACTGGTCAGGCTTAATAGAGCTGAAGGGAGAGTGTAAACAAGGACTTCATTTCTTCCTTGGAATTTCTGATGAAGGCACAGAGAGAAGTGACTGACTTTTCTTCCAGAATTTTTCTAACCAAGGCTCCCATATCCTGACTCCTACTTCGTGTGAGCTTGGAGAGAAACAGGTTGATTTTCACTCTAGGATGAAACTGCTGTAGTCCTGCTAGCTCAAAAAATCAGGAGAAACACATAAAACATTTAATTTAAGATTAGCAGTCAGTGTTAGACATTCCTTGCCTGTACCAGTAGGGATGAACACAGAGCCTACTGAAAGCTGCACTGTGAGTAATATTACAGTGAATCTGAGATCAGAGAAAACACATTTCTTGTTTTAAGTGGTGTTTTCCCCCTTTTCTTCTCCATACAACTTTAATATTGATCCACAGGCTAAGGATTGTTGTAGGGTGCTACCAGAACGGTTTAATGGGATACTTCTTGTGTTATAATCTTGGTAAAGAGACACACATGTGGATTTCAATAACATCGTGAAAGGAGACTGAATGTAATAAGGTGACAGAAAGATTGAAAGAAGATTAAAACTCATTTATCTCCAACTCCCAGGCAAATCACAGTAACTCCTCCCTGTCCTTCGTTCTACACACACCTGATCCTAACACTGCTAAGAGGCAGAAAGCACAAGAATAAAAACCCAACCAAACCCAGGTTTCCCTTCTGGGACAGGTTTGATGTGTTTGCACAGGAGATGAAGCCACAAGGGAGTTTGGATATGCCCAGGAGCAGGCTGGAGTATTCTGCTGGAAAGCAGTGCCACTATGTCATAGACTCTTTGTGAGATCCTAAAGCTTTCCATTTTTTTTCTAACAGCATTTGGCTTGGCTTGGTTTTCTGAACTGCTGCTGCTCTCAGGTTCAACAAGAGACATGTTTCTCTAAGCTGATTTCTCTGTGGCTGAGGATTTAATCAGATCAAAGTAGTGATTAAAACATTGGCTATAACCACAAGCCTTAAAGGGAGAGCTCCAACTGAGCTCTCCCTCTTTCAAATCCAAGGAGAAGCAAAACCTATCTCTGGCAAATGGATGCTTTTAAAAAACCCCAGATTTTTGCTCCTTCTGGGTCACCTTTCCTCTCGATAGGGTGAGAAGCTCCTGGCAAGTACAAAGAAATGAAGAAATGCAAATGAATTAAGGGCTGCATGTGAATGTATTAACACTGCCAAAACACCCGGGAAGGTGGGCTTGCTGACACTCCCTTCATTCCAACACATCCACTGTAAACTTCCAGCACAGCTCCCTCAGACCCTGTCACTGCTCCTGACATTCTTTCCTACAGTTTTCCACTTGCTGCTTTGTAGGTCTGTGGTTCCTTTCATCCATCCAAAGACAGCACGATAGCATGTTGGGAGTGGTGAGAAATAGAGTATAAAAAATGTAAATGGAGCATCATTTCCACAGTGCTACACAGAGTAAACCAGAGCAACCCAAACATTAAGGCCAAAACCACCTTTTTAGCGACAGTCTCAGAAATGAGGCCTAATTTTACATCATGACCTGTATGAAGAGCCAACGAGCTGTGCCATCAGATCCATGAGCCCCATCCCAGCTTCCTCCTGCACAACAAAAACAGGCCAAGTGATTCACTCGGCAGCTGAGGATGAAGGCTGCTGGGTTCTGGCGCCTTCTTCTGTTCCCTGAGCCACACCATGCTGTATGAGAATTGTTCCCAAAGGTGCAGCACAAGAACAGCTCCTCTTGAACTCCATGGTAGCTCTGCTCCAGGAGTGCCACAAGATATTTTGAATTAATGGAGAAGTGCATGTTCCATTGGGTGTTAATACTTATTTGTTACACCGACTTGGCAGCTCAGCCCTCTCCTCACTTCCATCACTGTGACACCTTTGAGATACCAGCTCCTTGGTATGTGGGATAACATCTTCTTCCAAGCTATTCTCGACACTCTACTCCTACTCCTCTTCTATGTGTTTAACCATTTTAAAGCTGATTTGGGTCATGACTAATAGAATTAGATACTAAAATCATGTGCTGTCAGCAGCAGACATTGTAGAGCCAGCAGGACCCACGCAGAATGCAAGTCGAAGCAACTTCAGATGGGTGGGAAAGCAGTCACATTAGTTTGTGCATTCTTCCACTTTTTAAATGGAATTAAAGCAGGACAAAAATCCCACCAAAAGCCCCAAACCTCAACTTCACTCTTTTTGGACCCAGTTTCTTCAGTTTGCATATCAGTCTAAACCTAAAGCAAGAGGAGATGAAGTTGTCCTCAAGCACTGCTGAGGACAGCGAGGACACTGAACAAATAAATGCCAACCGCCCAATTTTAAGATTTACTGAATTAAAGCAGGCACATGTGTTTTAAATCTAGGGTCACAGACTTGAGGATTGTGCACAACCTCAATATCTACCCAACTTTGGTCTCACTGCAGCCCATATGAAGAGCACATGCCCTTTTCATGGATATTTCCAATAACTGTTGTTTTCCCAGAAAAAATATTGAAATAAAAGAAGAGCATACCCCCCTTCTCCCTGTTGTGAAATTTGTAGAATGATCTGTCCATCAGCTTTAGGGCAGGACTGAGAGTTACACAGGCCGGAAGGTCAGCAGCACTGAGTTTTATTCCTGGCTCTGCAACTGAAGTTATTTGAATGTCTTTTGGTAAATAAAATGTAAACATTAAAAAATGTAAACAGCATCACATTTTCTGAAGGAGTTTGGTATCTTCCAGCAGAAGGCACTAGGGAAACAAGACTGATGTTTTCACAGCAAACAAACCCCAAAAAACCTCCTTTTCCTAATTCTTTAATAGGGTTAAACACCATTAATTCCAACTGGGAAACAATTCAAGGTGCAGCTCATGAGTTTCGTCTCATACATGTTGAGCATTCAGTTTTCAAACCTTTGACTGCAACTTGCCAATAGCTACAGAAAATGGTTACAGAATGCAGTTGTGGAAACCCCCAACAATTCAAAAGGGTTCCATTCATCTTTCTAAATAAAACCATGGAGTTCAATAGAAAAGAAGATTTAAGTTAGTCTATGATAAAATACTCCAAAACTGGACACTCCACAAAAGTTGCTCTTTTTTTGCCCCTTTTCCTGACAGCTCTCACACACCACACCCCTATGAATTCCTGCTCATTATGTTTTCCAACATTGTGCCAAGTTCAAACCCAAGCACTGATATGTAAAATATGGTTATTTAGAATTGGATTCACCACAGGTACCATCTGCTTACAGATGTTTACATGGGGTTACCTGTACTTGAGCTAGCTGTCCAGATTCCCTTGTAGGTGACAGAAAGGCACTTTTGGACTGCAATTCACCCTGAAGGAGATGCTTTAAAACCTGCAGATAACTCATCAGTTAGCACTGACTTAGACACCTACACTGCAGCCAACCAGTAACTTAGTCCTGCGTTTATCCTGGTTCATGGACAAGACTCTGCATAGAGAAATAAATGTCTAAATAACCTCAAAGACCTGTTCAAAACCCTTGTACAAGACTGGTCCCTTTTAAAAGGGGCAATATTTAAGCATCTTTTCTCCCAGCTCCCTCATGTCAGCTGACTGAGATCTGTTAACATCTTAGACAACACTTTTATGCTTCATGCATAAGTCAGATTTATTTTAGTGGTGTTTTCTCCTCCACATGAAACAAGAAGTCTGAAGAGTTATTTTAATGAATGGCTCTCTTTTAATGATTACATTTTTTCAGAAGAACAAAAGTGATCTGGTCTTGACCCACAAGGAAACCAAGGTACGTTTGTCCCCATATACAGAACACCCCAGGATAGGAAGGAGGGAGTGAAAGGCAACTCCTTCCCTGTGGGCAAAAATATTTTACTTGCAAATGCCTGAAACTGCACCCAAAAAGTAGATTAAAAATAAAGCAAGTTATCCTTGTGTAAAAGTGGCTGAGCCATCACACTCAGGTTACACTGTTTGGAAGATTTTTACCACTCCAACCACACACCTGAAACTTTTTACAGTGATTTTACCCTTTCTGATGGGTTTATTGACAGCATTATTAAGAGGAGGTTACAATTCTGCAGAAAACATTAAGGTTCTGACTAATGTACACACAGCCCTAGTGGGACACTGAGCAACTCAACTACATACACTCGTTGTTTTTCGCTAGAAAGGATCCCACAAACTCATCTCTGTGAGAGCAAGGCCAACAATCTATT